GATCTCACAACGCCGAGGTCTGGCCGGGATTAGAAAAGAAGGCGATGAGTCAAGAGCCAACGAATCTCCCCAGAAAATACACGATGATTTATCACATTACAAAGTGTCCACGGATGAGATCGAGGATGCACGGCGGGTTTGTTTCGAGTTGCGACACCGAGAGGAGGAGCTCGTTGCCGAGTGCAACCGTCTGAGACTCAAGTTAAGTGAAGCGAATAAGATCGCTGCCTGTGCTGTAAGAGACCGCGAAAAGGCAGAAAAGGAAATTGCTGGGGAGCTCACAAAATCGAATTGGGGTGAAACCGACACTGAACACCAGATGCAACTGGAAAAACAGGTTGAGCTACTGAAAAAGCAGCTGGCTGATCTGCATGGCAAATTTGCTTTGACGGAAGCTGATCGGAAACGGCTGTCAGGCCTTTTGGAGGAAAGGAATTTACCTCAAAGCAAGCCTAATGACCATTTGAATCATCCAAATGCCGAGGATCCAAAGACATATTCATCCGTTAATCAGTCGGTTCAAGAAAGTCTGGCAGTTCATCGCGAAACGGAAAAGAACGAACTCAAGCGAATGCAGAGAGAAGCTGTGGATTTCAAGAGAAAGTTGGTTGCACTACAAAAAGACCTTGATGCTAAGGACGCGCAAATTGATAAGTACAGGAAGCAATTGTCAACAGGTCAAAAACGATCCAATGCGGATGTCCATGACTCTTCGCCAAAATTAAACTGGCCCACTTCAGATGATCGTGAAATACACAAAAAGCGTGAGCATGAAATAAGACGTCTGCAGAAATCCATGGAAACAATACGAGGCGAACTGCAACAAGTTAAACAAGATAAGCATAAACTTCAGCTAGAATTGAACGATGCAAACGAGCGTGCATCACTCGCAACGAAAAAGGCGGTGGTAGAAAAAAACGACCAGAAAAGTATAGCCGTTCTTAGGCGAAAAGTCGACAATTTCCTCAGCGATGCCAGCCGGGATGCGGCTACTATTCAGTGCCTCAAAAATGAGCTCCAAGCGGCACAAGAAGAACTAAGGTACGAGACCGAGGCCCGCGCTAAGTTTGAAGAACTCGCCGCTCAGGCAATCAATAGGAACAATCATGTCCCCAAGTCAGAGGTGGTGCGGTTGCAGCAACAGCTTCAAGAATGCAATCTACAACTTCGCCAAGCTCACGCCGAGGCGGATGAAACGCGGCGGAACGCTCAGAAAGAGATTCAGGAGCTTAAAAACTGGTGTGCGCAATTGAGAGAACGCCAAGATAAGCAGATGCATGACATGGAGGTTGCCTTACGAAACAGTTCTACAGATCCGCAGCGGAACCGACCGACCGGGGAAAAAGTACAGGTGCCTGATCTCCAAATGAAGACTCTTTCAAGGAAATATACGGGGGGGAAGCTTCTGGCAAGTGCACGCTCAAGTCACCAAACGAATAATGGGACTCAAGAGCAAGAAAAAAAAGACTAGAAGGTTTGGGAGGGTCATCTTGGACCATTTCATCTGGCGATCCCGATGATCGGATAACCCAGATGCAACACCGTTCCATTGTGGATAAAGTCAAGAAGGAAAATGCAGAACTTCGGTGCAAATACGACCTCCTGGTCCAACAGCTTAAGCCTTCAGAAGAGGAAGGAGGTGCCGAACCTGAAATCAAACACGGTCTGTATGTTCAAAGGACGGTTCAGGCAGAAGCGGTGCATCTCGGGGAATCAGTGCTATCTCCCAAACATGATAGATTCAAAACAGGAAATCTGACAGGGGGGATTACTCGGTCCGATGCATTTGATACAAACAACACAAATATGGGGAATCCAATCACTAGTTCGGGGGTAATGACAGCGGGAGGGGGAAAAAGCGAAGAGGTTATAAAAGATAATGTGGATGGCCTAAAGACCGAGAGGTCCAGTTTACCTTATACACAAACCACAGGTGCCGAGCAAGAGAGAAAAAAGGTACCTGAGTTTTCCATGGCTACCGAAACGCAACGCGATTTGAATTCAAATTCAATGAAAACGAAACAAAAGAAAAAGACTAAATGTAGTTGTCATTGAATCAGTGAACACTAAGCTTTTATTTGAAAGGTAGGAGATTCTCGTTAGACACTTTTTTTTACGTGTGTGTGATACTACTGCGTCTTGAGCGGTGTTCTTGTCTCACTTTATCTCGGATGGAGAACCGAAATGTAAATTTTATTCATCAAAGATGAGAATGA